TATACCATGACTGAAACTGAAGCCTCGTAAAATAATGATTTGATCTAAGACATGTGTTTCATTAAAAGTAAAACTTAAAATGTACTGTATGATTCAGGCGCAACTCATTCATTCATTTCCAATTGTTGTGTTCAACACCTTGAAGTGTCAACTTCTTTTCTAAACACTAGTTTGATTATCTCAACTCCCACTAGTAAGTTTGTAATTACTAATAAAATTTGTTTAGATTGTCCTTTGTTCATTGAAAATAGGAAATTTCTTGTAAATTTAATTCGTCTACCTCTTTCTCAATTAGATGTAATCTTAGGTATGGACGGGTTATTATTCAATCAAGTCTTTCTGAATTGTGCAAAAAAATCAGTAATATTTTCAAATTATGATGATCTTTTGAATTCCTCTACCAACTCAGTAAATGAGCCTTTGAAAAACAAAGTTCAAGAATATTTATTATTATCATCTACATGAGTACAAGAGGAAGTTAATTTGAAAAAATATAGAAGTTGTTCATGTTAGGTTAAACTTTAATTGAATATGATCTTCATCCTAATGATCAAACATATATCTATAATCCCATACTGTAAACATATTATAAACTAAATGCGAAAGCATACCTGAATTGGCCATAATGACGATATCCTTTGTAGAGCACTTTTGATTTGATCTTATGGTCTTCCACCTGAAGAGCACCTGTATTTCCCTCTTGATTTTCTCTCTTGATGGGGATAGAAAGAAAAGAACGGGACTGTAACTGTATTCTGTCTGTGTGCTCTCAGAAGGGGACCATGACCCTTTATATAACCAAAATTAGGTTAATTACTTAAGTTTTAGTATTTTCAATTTGGCCCCTCATCAAATTAAAAATTACTCTATGGTCTCTATACAATCATATTTTCATGACATATGCCTTTAGCCAAAACTTTAATTTATTCAGATCACTTTATTATTTGGCTTAATAAATAATGACCCTAACACATTTAAATATGTATCATATATATACATGACCCAAAATTTGCCAACAATCTCCCACTGGTCACAAATATATATGTTTTTACAACCTTACAAATGTGTTAGACTTTATGAGCTCAAAATTGTCATTATATTCCTTTAACATATTCCAAAAGTCCTGTCCATTAATCATATAAGGATATAGAACCAAACCAGCTTTTCATTGCATCATCGCAACTAAAACCAACAAGATTACTCATCCTGACATAACCAAATGACATGGATTCATCATGAAATGTGTAGCATGAAAAATTACGTGAAGGTGATCTGTACACGTCTATTTTCAACTGGTCCAAACTTTAACTTATCGAGATCGATACAATAACCTTAATGTACAAAGTGTAATGAATGAACAAGAAAACCGCATATCTATAGATAACCAAATATGTCCAAAAAACAATGTATACATATATAAAATTAAACATAGAACATAAAATATATGAAAATGACTAACTCCCACTAAACCACAAATTCCTCAAACTCGTAAAACACCCATGTGAGCAACATGCTCATGAAAGACCTTGGGCGGAAGTCCTTTAGTTAGAGGATATGCTATCATGGAGTTTGTCCTTAAGTGTTCTATGAAAATTTGTCCACTTTGTACTCTTTCCTTAACAATACAAGTTGATTTATTGTCACAATATAACTTAAGTGGTCTTTCAATGCCTTTCACAATTTGCGGCCACTGTGACAAAATTTCTCGACCATATTCCATGATTTGATGTCTCATAGTATGTTACAAATTCTTGACATCCTACAAAATCCGAGTCAGAAAACCCAGCGATCTCCAACTAGTCTGACCTCCTATATGTGAGCATATAATCTTTTGTTCTCTTTAAATATCTTATGACTTTTTCTTTTGCTGCTTTTCAGTGGTCTATTCCTGGATTGCTTAAATATCTGCCTAGAACCCCAACTATATATGCTATGCCTGGATGCGTACATACTTGGGCATAGATCAAACTCCCTACAACTGATGCATAGGGAATCTTTTGCATTTCCTCAATTTCCAAATTCCCTTTGGGCACTAATTTAGACTAAACTTGTCTCCCTTAGTAACTAGAGTATCCCCGGCTCATGACGCACAGGTTCTTGAGGATCTTGAGTTTGGTCTTGACGAACAATCAAATCATCTTGAATATGAGGTTTATCATCAATGTCTTGTGGAGGTTCCGAACTTACTTTATCAAAAGTAATTGTTTGAATCGGTTCTGGATTTATTGTCGATTCTTCCTCCAATACAAAATTCTTAATCTTATTCTTCCCCCCAAACTCAATATCATCAAAGAACATAACAGTTCCCATCTCAAAAAATTGTCTTTAATGTGGGATCATAAAATTTATATCCCCTGGCTCTTTCAGAATAATCAATGAAGTAACTACTTACTGTTCGGGAGTCTAATTTTAGTTTAGTACCACGGGATTCTGTATTAAGAGTTGCATTATAGGTGACCACAGTATCAAATAAATATAGATTATCATTAGCTAAAAAATGAACCAATTATAATTATATCTGAATTAAAAGACAAATTGAAATTATTGTTTCCAAATGAACACAAATAACCTAATTTGTCCAAATAAGAAACTGAAACCAAATTCCGTCTAAAAGACGGCACGACAAAAAATGTCTTTTAAATCTAAAATAAAAAAAAAACAGTACACAATAATAATCTAAAATGTTCAATAGTCTCCGTCTCCACCGATTTGTCGTTTTTCAACGTATATCCATCTTTCAGAATCAGTTGGCTTCCGGTAGTTTAGGCAACCCTTTCTTTTCACGCCAAGCATGATATTTAGCACATTGCTTCTTTACGTGTCCAGTCTTATTGCAAAAGAAACATTTATTTTCTTGAGTTTGTTTCTTTTGTTCTGGACCTTTAGCAGCTTCCTTCTTGGGATCCTCCAATCTCTTTCTTTTGCCTTTAGCCTTAAAGGTGCTTGCAAAATGAGCACTTTCTGACTTGTCTTGCTTTAGCCTTTCTTCTTCTTGCACGCAATGAGAAATGAGTTCATTAAGAGACCATTTATCTTTTTGACAGTTGTAAGATACCTTAAATTGATTAAACGTTGCGAGAAGAGAAATCAACACCAAATGAATGAGCAAGTCTTCTGAGAGTTCAAGCTTTAGTGCCTTGAGCTTAAAAACAATATTAGACATGCTCATAATTTATTCCCTGATATTTCCTTTGCCCTGATATTTCATGGAGATCAAGTTCTGAAGAAGAGTGCTTGCCTCCGCCTTATCGCTTTTTGCAAAGCGCTGCTCAATTTCAGCAAGGAATTCTTTGGCACTTGTGATATTTTCAGAAACAGTGCCCCTAAACACCTCCGGGATGCCACGCTTAATGATCATTAGACTCATGCGATTTGAGCGATCCCACTTCTCATAATCTCTTTTCTGTTCAGAGGTACTTGAATCCGTAGGAGTAGGGGTTGCTCAGTCCTTAACGCAAGATCCATATCCATGCAACCAAGAACAATATCAATGTTCTCTTTCCAGTCCTTAAAATTTGTTCCATTGAGAACCGGAACGGAATTTAAATTGGCAGATATAGAAGCAATTGTAGCTGGATTAGAACAAAAGAAATAAACTAATTATGCTCACATTATAAAATAAATAATTATAAATAAAATATATATTCAAATAATGGTTTAACCCATCTCAAGACACTCAATGCACCATCAATATCAAGTCTTTGGACAAGTAATATTAACTACTAGAGGTATCTTGTTGTAATAATCAAACATTGACAATAAAGCACGTCCAACAACAAACCAGTCTTTGTATTGATTTATCATCGACAAAGCAAATCCTTATAATTATCATATGTTTATCATTACAAGTGTGTGTGCAATTCGGCCAAATATTAATCTTCCTTTGGGCCGACTAATACTCGCATGAATATACACAAACACTAACATTCAATATTTTTCATGAACTACCCAATTCAAGAAATATTACTTTGGTAACTTCTTGACTCAATTTGTTCACAAAAATATTAAACTACCAAAAAATTAATATTTTATTTATATAACAAAAACCAAATTTATATAATTATTTATTTAAAAAAAAATACTATTGGTTCTGATTGAATGAATTGTACAAGTGTACCTCTACCACTGGTTTAAACATTCCATAAATTAATTATTTGTTAGTATTTGTAACACGTAACAACATAACATAACACGATGTTGAGGATTAATTATGTGAAAGAGGGGAAAGAGGGATCCATTAAATTGTAGGGTACAACTGTTACGTGTCGAGTAATTGTGGTGCATGACCCATCTTTGATTCGGGTCTGGAACTAGCATTAGACACTCACACACTCCTATTCTCTCCATCCCATAAAACACCCATCATCCACAATGGCTAATCACCCTCAAATCCATCCTTGACACCTTATACCGCTTCAAAGAGCATTGGGAGGACTACGTTGATGGAGGATTAATTAGTCCAATCAAAAGGATGAATTAGACTAAGAGGAAGTGATGGCTCGGAAGCGCTCCTGACCCACAGTGTCCCAGATCTGCGCCTTGACTTCCTTGCCATCGATGTCCACCAGAAAAGCCACCGTATTCATCCAAAATCAAGCTAGAATTAGCATAAACCCTAATGTGGTAGTTGTTAGAGATCCTGCGTTTCTCTCCTTTAAACTGTGGTTTGTTTTACTTGGTTGATAATTAAAAATTGTGTCTCCTGGTGCCATAAATAATTAAAGATCTGGATATGCGTGGAGTCCAGAGAATGACCAGATCTACTATGTGGTGGGTCTGTAGTTGGGAGCCTTGCCATGCAACATAGCTTGAGCCTGTAACTTTTGAGTACATGACAACAACTCCAACTGTTATACGGATGCTCCCCTTCATCAGGCCAATGATCTCATGTGATTCTGTGCCATGTTTGGCATAAATATTGTTTGGCATGGTGTTGTTAGCTAGAGCTATACAATAAAGATTGGATAGAGATATTTATCATTGGTGGAAACTTATTGCAGGCATTAGGTAAGACAACTGACTGGTTTAGGACAGTATTGTCAGTTAAGCCTGTCAAGGGGAACTTGCGATTAAGTGGATACTCTACATGTGGACAAGATGGAGGTGTGCAGTTTCCTCATGAATATGTTGAAGGTATGATTCATTTGTTGGCCTTCTGTTGAAAGTGTAGTTCTTATAAAACTTGTGGTTAACTGTACTTGTGAATTTATGAGGATGACCTCTTTGTTCACCTTGCCCAGAGTTTCCATGACTAAGCACACCCTGAATCTTGACCTTATCAGAGACCGAGAGCTCCACCTTTCTTTGCTTCGACGGCAACACATAAGGGTACATAACAGACTCCTCCACGTTCGAATGATCAAGCCCTAACAAATGCCCTATCTGATGCATCGCCACACTCTCCAAATCCAACGCCCTCGTCAAAATCGTAAAACCCCACCCTAATATCAGCCTCGTCATAACTCCCCTCCGTCAGATTCAACCCCGGAACAGCCCTACCCCATCGCGCGAACGCCCTCCTGAACACCTCAGTCGCGTTCCCCGGAATCCTTCTCGTCGGGAAGAACCCGTACGTGAGCCTCATCCCGGAGAACCACCGCCGCCCGGCCTTGGGCCACGACACATTCCCCACGGCGGAGAAATCGAAGTTCACGTCCGGGACACCGCACCGCGGTAGCGAAAGTTGGTGGAACGTCTCGTTGGTTAGTTCGCCGGTGGGGTTGAGATTGAAGAAACGCTAGCAGGACTTGATAGCGGTTCGTGTACCGGAACCTTGCGGTGTCGCCGGAGATTCCTCACCGACGACAATGTACGCTAAACTCACGGGACAATTTTACCCCAAATTTGATTTTAGGGTTTACAAAATTTGGAGATTATTCTCCACCTAGGGTTGTCAATTTAAACAAAATCTAAATTCCAAATGCAAACATGAATCAAGTATGGGTTGCTCTGATACCAATTGTTAGGTTAAACTTTAATTGAATATGATCTTCATCCTAATGATCAAACATATATCTATAATCCCATACTGTAAACATGTTATAAACTAAATGCGAAAGCGTACCTGAATTGGCCATAATGATGATATCCTTTGTAGAGCACTTTTGATTTGATCTTATGGTCTTCCACCTGAAGAGCACCTGTATTTCCCTCTTGATTTTCTCTCTTAATGGGGATAGAAAGAAAAGAACGGGACTGTAACTGTATTCTGTCTGTGTGCTCTCAGAAGGGGACCATGACCCTTTATATAACCAAAATTAGGTTAATTACTTAAGTTTTAGTATTTTTAATTTGGCCCCTCATCAAATTAAAAATTACTTTATGGTCTCTACACAATCATATTTTCATGACATATGCCTTTAGCCAAAACTTTAATTTATTCAGATCACTTTATTATTTGGCTTAATAAATAATGACCCTAACACATTTAAATATGTATCATATATATACATGACCCAAAATTTGCCAACAGTTCAAAATTTCCTTGATGTTTTTCCTAAAGATATTCTTGGTTTACCACCCAACCGAGATATTGAATTTTCAATAGATTTGTTACTTGGAATTGGACCAATTTCTATGATACATATAAGATGTCACCTTCTAAACTAACATAACTAAAGAAACAATTGAAAGAATTACTTGAGAAATAATTCCTTTATCCTAGTGTATCACCTTGGAGAGTCCCTGTTTTGTTAGTTAAGAAGAAAGATGGAAGTTTTAGGTTGTATGTAGATTATCGTCAGACCATAAAGAATAAATACTCTCTTTCAATAATAGATTATTCGATAGATCAATTAAGAGAAGCCTTTGTGTTTTCTAAAATAGATTTAAGATCAAGATATCACCAAATTAGAGTAAAGGCAAAAGATGTACATAAAATTGCATCTAGAATTAGGATGGTCATTATGAATATCAAGTGATGCATTTTGGTGTGATTAATGCTCCTACAATATTCATGGATTATATGAATAAGATTTTTTGTCCATTTTTATATCATTTTGTTGTGGTTTTTATAAATGACATTCTTATTTATTTTAAAACTTTTGAAGACCATGATGAACACCTTCATATTGTTCTTCAAATTTTGAAAGACAAATAATTGTATGCTAAATTAACTAAGTGTGAATTTTGGTTAGAACAAGAAAGATTTTTGAACCATGTGATTTCTAAAGAAAGAGTGTTAGTAGACCCAATCAAAGTAAAAATAATTCTACAATGGGATTCACCAAAAACAGTGACTGAGATTCGTAGTTTTTTTGGTTTAATAAATTATTATTGAGATAAGAGATATTGTTTCTATTTATAATCTATTATTTCTATAAATGGAAAATTATGTAAAATTAAAAATTCAAAAATTGTTATATAATAATTCAGAAATTACAATATAAAACAAAAAGAGAAGTTTAAGATGATTTTTCAATGGGAGAATTTAGTATTCTTATTTGGCTTGTTTGGTCCTAAGTCAGATTTATATCTTTTGAGTCTATATACTTAAAATCACTTATTTAATGCAAACACATTATTTTTATTTATTTTAATTTTTATGTATACTCATTTAAATTTCTACCGAGTATACTATATCCAATAAATATTAAAATAATATTAGAAGGATTAAAATGAATAATTTTATATGAATGACAAAAAAATTATTAAAATATAAGGACTAAATGAATAATTTATATATAACAATTATTTATAAATTATAAGTAATAGTTGTAATTTGAAATTAAATTAGGATTTAGTAATGAAAATCTTCATCGCTTAGGTAGATCCTTCTTCGTTTCAGTAACTAAAAATTTCACTTTAGTGAAATTGAGACCGAGTCAATTTTTTCTCGTTTGGGAGCCCTTCGCTTAGACAAATATTTGTTTCTTAAGAAAAATAGATCAATGCAATTTTTTTTTTTTAATGAAAGTCTCATCATTAAAGTGACTAATTCTTTAGTTAAGAAAAAAGAATATAGTACGGAACCTTGATCCTCAGTTACACTTTCAGTAAGCAGTCATTGACCATTTAAACAAATTATGTAGAAATGACTAAATTAGTTCATATACACTTTGAATAATAAAAAATTTGTATTCGTATTTAAATGGTAAAAATTCAAATTGCACCTAATTAAATAATCTATTCTTAAAGTTTTTGTTTTAAATTTATGTTATTATATAGTTTTGACATGTCTTTATTTTTAAATAGATGTATCAAAATCATCCAAAAAAAATGATATAAAAAGTTAGTTATGAAATGATTTTTTTAAGTTAATACATTTACAGTATTTTTAAATGTTAATCTTATCTTTCGAAATGAAATGGAGTGCTGAATGTGTTTTTTGTGGTGTATAAAGAAGTACCCTTTTGCTAAATGAGTAACCTTTTTCGTTGGGTTGAGTTTACTTTCATTGGGTTTCACATTCTTTTGGATTATTTTTAAGCTGTTGCTTCCTGCACCTCTTATGTTCATCGTGCATCTTTGTATTTGTCCAATAATAATATCGTCGCTATGGTAAAATAGGTTCCAAATTAATTATTTCGAAAACTTTTCAAAATCAGTTTTCTGAAAGTATTTTCAAGATTGATTTTTCTGGAAAATTTATTGAAACATTCCGAATTAATTTTTCTGGAAATTTTCCGTAAATACTCTGGAATTAGCGTTCCTATAATATTCCGGATCCACTTTTTTGGAATGTTGAATTTGTGTTCCAGATTTTATAATTTTGAACTTAAACCCTACATGAGTAACAGTTTTCCGAAAGTTTCTCATATTGACTTTTCATAGTAGTAAAATTATATTTCAAATTTTATAATCCGAAATTAAAAAAAAAAAAATATATATATATATATATATATATATATGATTTCATATCTATTTTTCTGAATTTTAAAAAAATCTAAAATACTTTAAAATATGTTTTCAAATCACTAATTTTATAAATTTAACATGCAGGATTAAGGTATGGAGTGGCAGGAAAGAAAGAGCCCCACATTTATTCTCTCATCTTCTCTCCTGCATGGGCCAACCAAACATGCAGCCCACAACCAGCTAAAAAACTTTGGTGTCATTCGTTCTGTGTATATGGCAGAAAATAAAGTTTGTTTCTTCATCATGTTCCATAATTTTCTCTTCTACCTTCCTAATTAAAATAAATCTTATTTTACTTTTTATTAAAAAATGTTTATATTTTTTGAAACATATTTTTAAATTAGATATGTTTAAGTATATTTCTATAACTACTAATCTTAAAATATATTTTAAATTGACTATTTAAAAATTTATTTTCGAATTGATTGATTTAAAAATATATTTTGGATTAGACGTTTTAAAATATATTTCTTAAATAGTCAATTAAAAAAATATATTTTAAAATATTTAATTCAAAATATATTTTTAAATCATCTAATTTAAAAATATATTTTGAATTACTCAATCCAAAATATATTGTAGATTTGAGTATTTCTAAAACTCATCTTTTAAGTAGATGTGTTTCGAATTAAACGGATCCTATATTAACTTTGGAGGTTGAATCTCAACAAAATAAAATTACAAAAACTACGGAGACGGAAAGGAGCAAAGAAAAAAAAGATATTTCAATTATTTTGAGAATGAAAAAAAGAAAGGTGAAGGAATTTAATACTTTCTATATATTGTTTCCCGATGTTAAGAATAGTTTTCGATTTTTTAATTTTTAAAAATTAAAAAACTTGTTTAATATCTATTTTATTAAAACAGTTTTTAAAAACAATTTTTGGTTTTAAGTTTTTAAAAATTGAAAAAACTGATTTTTACCTTTTCTATTAAAACAGTTTTTAAAAATAGTTTTTATTTTTTTGGTTTTTTAAAACTAAAAAAATAAAATTGATAAAAAGTTTTTTTTTTTTGCAGTGTATTAATATTTTTTTATCAATAATTCTTTATTTTTATTATAAAAATATTTAAATTATTTTCTAGCTTTTATTACGATTTTTTTGTATTACTTTTTAATTAATTTTTAAAATAGAGTTATTAATTTTTTTTCTCAACTTATTTCCAAGAATAGTTTTTTTAAAATTAGTCTCTATTTTTAAAAGTTCAAGAAAACAAATCCTTATAACATATGATATAAAATATAAATACTAGAGTTTTTTGTTTATAAAAAACAAATTTAAATTTTTGAATTTTTAAAATTTTAAAAAACTCGTTTTTAATTGTTTTGTGTAAATAATTAAAAAAAACGTTTATTTTTTAGTTTTTGAAATTTTAAAAAGAAAAACTGGTAAAATGTATTTCTTGTTTTCAGTTTTCTATTTTTTTTTATTGATATAACTGTTTTCGGCTACACTTGTCTTTACAGTTATAAAATTTAAATTCATCCTACAATTTTCACAATGATATTTTTTATTATTGTTAGTGTCCTTATTTTCATTTAATTTATAAACTAAAATTATTAAAAGTTTTTTAATTTATTTAAAAATATTTATTTTTAAATTAATTATTTAAACTACTTTTAATAACTAAAAAATTAAATAAAATAAAATATTATCTCATTGAAAAGAGACTATTTTATCATTAAAGTGTAACAATGATTTATTGATCAAGTAAAAAAAAAAAGGAATAAAAGATAAATATTAAACAAAAACAGACACGTTGTTATGACATTAACCACAAGGATTTAAATGCACAAGAAAAGATGAGGAGAAAAAGAGTGTACGTTACAACTATCTTCTTCAGTGTTAACAGCTGTAACAGGTGTCCTTAAATTAGACAAAAAAAATGTAGAAAAGTGTCAAGTAAATGTGAATGGGTAATGTTTTAGTATTTCTGTTAAATATTAAATTTTAGATTAAAAAGAATATCAAAATAATAGGAACCATACAAAAGTAATTAGACAAAATTATACACACTTTTGATTCAACCATCCTTGTCATATAAGAATAAAAAGTTTTGCAAGGAAGCTTGGGTTTTGAAAGTAAGGAAATAAGTGGTTCAAGATTGAGTAAGAGTAATTTATCATCAGTCCTTTAAAAGAAAAAGTAAGCAAAACAAGTTATGGAATCTTTAAAATTGTCTTTCTCAATAACCATATTGAGTGGAGGAGAGGTTGCCACTTGTCATGCCCCATTATTTGGATTCCTTTGTAAAATCATGATAATTTTCTTCAACCATGTGCTTAGTAGGTCCATTGCAAAATATTCTTCAACCAATATAGTCAAGAATCAAGTAGACAACTAATCATGCTATTGGTAGGAGCAGTATGGACTAATGCCTCTATTGGTAGAGCAGTATGGACTAATGAGACATGGGGATGATATTAAAATTGGGATCAAAGGAAACTTTAGCTCTTATTATTTGGACTATTTTCGCGATCTATTTATATACTAAAAAAAATTAAAAATTCAAATATATAAATTCTTCAATAACGATCTCCATAGACTTTCTTATAATTTGGATATATTATTTCTTATAATTTGGATATGTTATTTAGGGATAAATATTTTAAGGTACTGTAAGGATCAATTTATTGGTATAGAATCTAAACAAAATATTACTCTGTTAAACATTTTAATTACTCTCTCACTACTTTCACTAATCCACAACTTAGTTCAAATGGGTAAAGGTATTAAAACATCAATCAAACTAAACTTATTTACTTTCCTATTAATTTAGCGTGTGAAATATGGATAAAAATTACATTCAAAACTTACACATGTATACAAATGAATCCAACACACTATCACGACACAAAGCCTACTTACACTTTATAATACCAAATAACTAATCATACTTCTCCCTCCACATGTACACAAGAAAGAAGAGCCAAGAGGTGGCCAATGCAATGTCCCCAACAGCATGTCTGGGCCAGTCATGGGCAAGATCTTCAAGCTTCCTCCCGAAGTAGAATCTCCACACTGCCATAGAGATGTGAAGAAACACACACCCTTTGGCAAAGAAACTCTGGAACTCCCAGTCCTTGACACAAGCAACCATGAACACAAGGAACCCAATTGTGAACAACAGCAAGCCAGAGAAGGAATCTGAGGTTTGAATCAGTAACTGATCGTGGGGTGTTGACCCTTGAAGTTTGCTTGCCGTCTTTGGTCCATGCCCCAACACACAAATCTCTTTGGAATAAAACACCATCAGGGCTCCACAGGTCAAAGCTATTGCAGAATGCAGAACACATATTAGGAAAAAGCAAGAAGAACCCATTGCCCCAAATTCCAAAACCTTCCCTTTTTTCACACTCAATTCAGCTTCTTCCCCAGTAAAGGCAGTTGAAATTTCAAGCTTAAGTTACTTTACTTACTACCAGTAGTATAGTAATAGTAATAACAACAACAGAACCAAACCTGTGACATGACCAATCCTGATTCTAGTTTGATGCATGATAACTTTTTTATCATCACCCTTTAGGATTTCAACCACTAACAAAGCAGAAGCTGCAATAAATCAGGGCTTAGTCTTCTCAAGTTTTCAAACATAGTATCCAAAGGATGCTGAAGTTCACCTTGATCACAACTTGTTGACAAATCTCAACAACCCACTTTCAATTTGGTATATGAAGTGTGTTCATCTTCAGTGTCAAGGCAGAAGAGAGGATTTACTTGCACAGGGAGAGGAATAGAGGATTGAATTTTGTGACTGAGTAAGCAGAGAGCTTGATGAACCTAAGTTGATTATGTTACCATAAATCCCTCATGAATTGGATCGATACGTCATGCAGAAACTGCCATGCTTTTCTGGTGGCCACCAGTCTAGTTTGTTCCACTAGGCACTTAATCGAATGCATGGTGGGTCATGGACATGGGTCTACATGAGATTATTCAGAAAATCTTGTCGCGATATGTGGTCTATTCAAACTTGTAGGACACATTTGGAGTTGCTTGGTTGGTCTAATTTTATATTTTTCAAAGTACTGAAGGGGCCTTTCATGTCAAGATCTCATTCATAATTTTGTATTATTTAGTCTCAGGGATAAGTATGCCAGAAATCTATGATCTGCCACCCCAATTCTAAATATCTTGTTTTGTTTTTTGTGTGCGTGTCAGTGTGTGAGAAATTCTATTCCTATGCAAATTTAATTTTTGTAATTTAGAGAAATAAAAATCAGAGACGTGGCGGAAAAAGATAAGCAGAAAAAAAATTTATCAAAATATACTGTAGGTGTGATTAATAAATTATAACTCCTGTAATATTTAAGTAAATTGTTGGTAAAAATATATTTCTAAGATATTCTATATATATATATATATATAAAATCAGAAAATTAGTTATAAGAAAGTTTTAAATAAATTTTTAAGAGAGTTATAGTATTTGTTTAATAAAATCTTTAAAAAGATATTTTTTGTAATAAAATCTAAAAAAAAAATTGTTGGAACCGTGTTTCCCAAGTTCCCTGCATATAAAGTGGCAAGCGCTTGGTGCCAAACTATTGGTATCGAGAGCGAGGCCGCGTGCTCGATTCCTCGCTGAGGACGGAATTGGGCAGCGTGTGGTAAGTCCCCTCGAGATTCCCGAAGAACAGGGGAATCAGAGTCGCGGAAGCGTGGTGGGATCAGGGGCTAAGTACTAAAGTGTGAACCCTTACTACTAGCTTAAGCTTTTAGCTAAGTAGTTAGTGCTTGGTGTCAAACTATATATATATAATATTTTAATTCTTTTTCTTTATAATTTTTTATTTTATTTTGGTCCATGTTATTTATTAATATCTTTTAAGTTATGAGTTATCTATTAAGTAACCACATCAATGACGGTAACATTGACACTTTATTTTTTAATTATTTTTTGGAGAAAAAATTAATCCAAAGAATATTATTTCTCCTAAATTAGGATTCGTATTTCTTATCTCTTTCCATTTTCTTTATTCAACGTTCAAACCCAAAGAGGATGTGGATAGAACTAATTCATCTTTTGTTTGAAGAAATAAACTTAATCAATATAATACAAATGGAATTGTTTATTTTCAATTAGGGTTTGCATCCCTTTTTATTTAACATTCCCTTTTCTACAATAAAACCTAAACAAGTAGGGAAATGTAAATAATACACGCATCAATTTTATTTAATTAAAGATGTGTTATTTAACGGATAACTTATCACTTAGTTAGTGCTAATTAAGTAGGGATCAAATTTAAAATAAAAATTTTGTTGTAAATCAAATTGGAAGAAAAATTGTACTAAAGACCATATCTAAAATTCACAAATTTAAGAAGAAAAAACAATTATTTAACCATATGATAATGATTAATAATATATATATATATATATATATATATATATATATATATATATATATATATATATATATTGTCCGTGTGTAATATGAAAAAATATGATCAACGTTAATTATATGTCAATAATTAATTTCATTTATGATTATATATAAAAGGGATTCATTTTAAAAAAAATAGATACATTTGAAGGATAAAAATAAAAAATAAAATGATACTTTAAAATGAATTAATTATAAAAATATGAACGTTTTAATATTTGTATTTATACTATTTACGTGACGTATGTTTTTTACTTGTGCAAGAAAACTTTGTAACGAAGTTTTCTTCATGCACAGTAAATTTTTTTCTTTTATATGTTCGAAGGGGGATAAATGGTTTCTGCAGAAAATTCTTCCTCCCATATCACATGTTCCTCATTCTTCTTCTTCTATTGTCTAAATTTCAAGCAACGAGACTCTACTCGTGCAGGATCTGGTGAAACGGGAGAGAACTTGAATTAAGTGGGAAAGCTTCGGTAGAAATACCATACCAGGTAAGAGGAAGTTTAATTCATTCAATATATGGAATTGAATTGTTGGGTGCTTCTGTGAATAAGGATTCCTAATTCTTCTTCTTCTATTGTCTAAATTTCAAGCAACGAGACTCTACTCGTGCAGGATCTGGTGAAACGGGAGAGAACTTAAATTAAGTGGGAAACTTCGGTAGAAATACCATACCAGGTAAGGGGAAGTTTAATTCATTCAATATATGAAATTGAATTGTTGGGTGCTCTGTGAATAAGGAATAGGAGTAGAGATATGAATTATTTGAATGTCTGATTTTGAAGAATGTCTGATTTTGATGAACTGTTCACCGTTTGAAAGTTTTTGAAATTCTTGAAATTAAGGATGAATTATATAATAAAATTGTTGTTTTAAACTTAAATTGAACATGTTTATGGTTTAATTTTGATTTGGAACTAATTTGGGTGATTGAAGCGAGAAATTTGAAACCTGGATTTTGAAAATGGCGTACTTGGAGGTGATTACTATTCATATTTTGCAAAGTTTTAAATATTGATTAAATTCTTGAAATTAAGGATGAATTATATAGTAAAATTGCTATTTTCAACTTAAATTAGATATAATTCATGTTTAATTTCGATTTGGGACTAGTTTGGTTGTCTAAAACTGAGTAATTTGAAATCTGCCAAAATCTGTAAAATTCGACACTCGGCGAAGGAAGAAGAAAGGGATATGGTGGAGATTTTTTAAAAAGATCAAGGGTAAAATAGTCATTTTTCATCCTAGGGACATAAATGTAATTTTCAAAAATGTTCAAGGGCAAAATAGTCATTTTACATCCTAGGGACATAAATGGAATTTTTGAAATTGTTCAAGGGTAAAATAGTCATTTTCGGGACATGGAAGGAATTTTTGAAAATGACCAAGGGCAAAATAGTCATTTTTGGGACATGGAAGGAATTTTCAAAAATGTCCAAGGGTAAAATAGTCATTTAGGGACATACATGGAATTTTAAGAAAAGATTAAGGGCAAAATAGTAATTTAATGATTTCGAAAATAGTTTCGGAAATAGTTTCGGAAATGATTTCGGAAATGATTCCATAAATGATTTTAGAAAAATATATATATAAAGAGAGAGAGAGAGAGAGAGAGAGAGAGAGAGAATGAAAGTAGTGTGTTGTGACGTGTGTGGGTCAGACTGAGCCTGAGGGCTGATGCCCAGAATCAGTCCTGAGACGTTATATATTAGCTAGACTGAGCTGGAGGGTTGGTGCTAGAATCAGTCAAATACTATTTTTATTGACCCGAATGAGCCGTGAGAACAGGTGGTCCAGAATCCGGCAAATGTGAATAAATTTTGTTATGTTTGAATGGTACCCGGGGTGGTACAGAGTACATTAGTGTAATAACTATGTCGAAGAATTCTGAATGAGGTCCTAGACTTCACTGATTGGTCGAGTCAGGTAGACTACGAGATCAGGTGGTGAGAAGTCGATGGGGGGATGACTGGTGGCGCGCTTGGAGGGGTACTCCAATATGAGTGATGAAGGGCGCCAGTAATCCTACTCTGTGTGGAGGGTGGTCAGAATGGTACTGCGGGTACCGATCACAATGTGCCCACAGATGATAGCCTCTGAGTTCGGGCATAGTTAGGGTATACTTCCGGAAGGTGTCTTAGTGTGTTGATAATTTCGTAATTGATCATAATATATAATTATTACTTCTATATCTGTTTTATTATATCGAATGATTTAATACTTACCCCTATTTTCCATGTGGATGAGACTGCGATAATCACTTTTATGTGGGAGCAGATCAGGAGTTGAGAGATGGTGATGTGACTACTGGATATCAGGGAAAGTTCAGTAGGATAGCTTCGAGGGAGCTACTTTTACATGTATAATATATAAATAAATTATGTTACTATATTTTGAAGTTCCGTTAGTGAACCGGAATTTCAATCTATGTTACAATTATAGTAATATAATGTAAAATAGATGTTGTTATTTACTTGTTTATTACTTTGCGAAGACATCATTATAGTAGCGATTTCTAGGGTTGTTACAATAGTGGTATCAGAGTGGTAGTATCCTTGTAAATTTGTGGGGATGGGTAGTGAACCTATGATAAGTCCATTGTGATTATACTCTGATATGTGAGTGTGTGTGAATGTTTGCTCTGTATTGATGGTTGCGTTTGATATAGGATGACACCGCGACCTCCTACTCCTACTCCACCGAGTGTAGATGTCCTAGCCAGGGAAATGGAAATGTTGGCAGCTGTCATGCAGCAGCAGGCTACCTACCCGCAGCGGAGGCCAACTATGGCATCATCCTCTGCTGGATTTCACCAATCAGAGCAGATGGAACTGACTGAGTTCATGAGGCATAATCCACCTCGTTTTGGAGGAGATTTGGGTCCAGATGCAGCAGAGAAGTGGTTGCGTGAAGTGGAGAAGATTTTTTAGGTTACCTTATGCCCGGAAGACAGGAAATTGACATTCGGAAAATACTTACTAGTGGATGAGGCTGAGTTCTGGTGGTCAGGGACTCAAAGGATGATGATTGCACGTGGGGAGGTGTGTAATTGGGAAACCTTCCGTGAGAGGTTTTTGGAGAAATACTTCCCTGACAGTGTTAGATTTCAGAAGGAGACTGAGTTCCTGAGTCTGAGACAGAGTAATATGATGGTGCATGATTACGCCGTACGATTTGAGCACTTATCTCATTTTTACACAGGTACATCTTCAGAATAGTGGCTTTGTAGGAAGTTTGAGGAAGGTTTGAGGGCTGAGATCAAGCTCATGGTGGTTCCTTTCTCTATCAGGAGATTTCCAGAACTGGTGGAGAAAGCGAAGACAATAGAGAGACTCCAGGAGGGAGGAGTCAGAGTGATGAGGACCCACCCAAGTGGGGTCCCGAGTGGGGGTAGTAGATTAGAGAGGAGGATGTCTTATTCACACCCCCAGTCTTCCAGGAGTGGCAGTGTTACCCCAGCACCTCGATCATCGGGATCTGTATCCGGGGTGAAATGTTTTCAATATGGAGGCCCTCATTACAGGAATCAGTGCCCACAGAATGCCTTCACTAATCCTTCCCAGACTTCTCGGGCAGATCTTTGCTACACTTGCCAGAAGC